ATTAGCTGGCCATGGTGGTGCACGCCTGTAATCCCAGCTACTCAGGAGGCTGAGGCAGGTGAATCGCTTGAACCTGGCAGGCGGAGGTTGCAGTGAGCCGAGATTGCACCATTGCACTCCAGCCTGGGCAACAGAGCAAGACTCCATCTCAAAAAAAAAAAAAAAATTTACATTTACCTACTCTCAAACTTAAGAAGTAGAATGTAGGGAAAAAAAGGACCTATTCTGAGAAAAGATGTACTTTGAACCACTAGCAAAGCATTTCTCTAATGGACCCCTCTCCTCTTTCCCCTTCCTAATAGCTTGGTTTAGTGCCTGCACTTAGTGGAGACCTGGGGCTTTTCCCACTAAGCTCAGAAATCTACCCTGGCAGGTGGGAGGCTGAGGGTGGGATGTGGGACCAACTAGTCTTGCCAGTTAAGTTGCAAAGCAATTTATCAGGAGCTGTGCAAGAGAAGCGGACTGAAGGTGGCTATGTAATGCAGTTTTCATTTCCCTCAGTCTGTGGGACTTATAAAGGAACCTCTGATCTTATTTTTAAACCAAGTGCGCCTTGTAAGTTTTACCACATTGTACTAAGTTTGAAAACATAGGGCAACTAAGGTGAGACTTAAATTGCACTTCTCTGGCTTCCACTCCATATTTTATTCATGAATAGCAAAAGTGTTCTCAGGCACATTAGTTCTGTTAGGGCAGATTTGGGCACCTCTCAACCTTGCTTTCATGGTAGTTAATTACAGGTAAGGTGAGTCTCACCTTCAATCCCCACACTCCAGATAAAACTCCCAGAGGGGAGGCAATGGTTAGGCCGTTAAAAACAATTGCACCAAAAATAATGATTATTTTTAGATTCATGGACTTTAAATCTTTTAATAAATCACTGTGCTTTAAAAACTATAATAACAAGGAAAGCAATTGCAAGATCATATTTAATCAGAAAGTAAAATTGTTTTCCCCCCAAAACCCCTCCCATTTTTTAGGAGAAACTTGGTTTAATGTAGCTGTTCACCCACAGTCCGGTGAAGTTTAGTCTTTGTCTTCATAGCAGCCTGTGCACACCCTTAGGGTCTGAAGAAGTGACTGTGTGTAGGTTTCTGGAGGCATGAAAGATCCAGGGTCTTCCTTCCTGAAGGATGTAGATGGGGTGAATCCAGCAATTCATATGTATTAATCATTGGTTCATTAATGTCAGCTTTTTGTGGGGAAGGGACTGGGTCTCTCTATGTTGCCTGCGCTGGTCTCGGACTTGTGGGCTCAAGCAATCCTCCTGCTTCAGCCTCCCAAGTAGCTAGGATTATAGGCATGCATGACTGCATGGCTTTTTCCTAAAATATTTAAAAATTATTAGTGATTTCACCTTTTCATTGTTCCTTGGAAGTAGAGATAATGATTATACTGATACTGAAATCATGGCCCAGAGATACCAGGGGACTTTTCTACTGCCCTATCATGGGCTAGAAGTGAGCGAAGTTTAGAAGAGGATCAAGTGTGTTGAAATGTAAGCCCCTTTTCTTCTAATTCTGCCTTATCGGAAAAGAGCTGGGTTGACTACAGCTTTGGACACAGCTTGTCTCTTGGATTTCCTTCTGGCCCTGGAAATACAGAAGAGTTGGAACAGATGAAACTATGGAATAGTTTAACATGATGTGATCAAAGTTAAACTTTAGGTAAATACTTGTTTGAATGCCTGTATTTAGAGAGTATCTTTTTATATCAGGCGTTTTATAAACCTCTGTCAGTGATTCACGGCATCAGAGAATACTAACTCTCTACTTTTATTAGCGATCTCCTCCATTTTAATACTAGACAGAGGGTAGTCTAATGGAAACAGGAGGCACAAACAACAAGTTCTGGATAAGAGCCGATGGCTTTGGGTTTGAGAGATCATCTTTTGTCTTTCAAAGATAACTGAGTCTGCCCCAGGTTCACCACCTGTGTTATTCAATCCTCCCCCAGCCCATAGCAAATGCTGGTGACAATCAATTTCACTTTTAGCATAGCCACTTCATTCCTGCTCATTTTCTTCTTTCTTTCCTTCTTTTGAGATGGAGCCTCACTCTGTTGCCCAGGTTGGAGTGCAGTGGTGTGATCTTAGCTCACTGCAACCTCTACCTTCTGGGTACACGTGATTCTCCTGCCTCAGCCTCCCTAACAGGTGGGATTGATTACAGGTGCCCACCACAACGCCCAGCTAATTTTTGTATTTTTAGTAGAGATGAGGTTTCACCATCTTGGGCAGGCTGGTCTTGAACTCCTGACCTCAAGTGATCTGCCTGCCTTGGCCTCCCAAAGTGCTGGGATTACAGGCATGAGCCACCGCACCAGGCCTCTTCTTTCTTTCTTCTCTACCTCCTTTATTCTTTTGGTATTTATTTTTTTAAAAAATATTTT